AGAAGTTTTACCAAACAGGCTACAAATATCTTCCCTTTTTGTAAGTGAATAATATAGCATTTGTAAGAACAGTAATTAAATAATACGAATAAAATGAGAATTCCATTTTTTTTTTCTTTTCATTTTTAATATTCGGTGGGGGTATTGCAATTAAGTTCCGGTTTGTCCCCTTTAAATTTTTAAATGACTTGTGAGAGTATCATTTTCCACCATACATTCAAATAATAAAATATTCTATATATAAATCAATAAAATTTTCTTTTATTCATCAATTTGCCATTTTATAATACATTACAAGAAATTGATGGCCGTCAAACATGGCCTAAGCTACTCCTTTTGTGCTTGACATCCTCTACGACCCCATGTGTAGAAAATCATACAATTGATTGGAAAGAATATTGTTAAAATCAATATGTAGAAAATTGTTAGTTCTCACAATATCATTTATAATATCAAACTTGATATATACTAAGCAAAACCGGTGGTTTTGTAGTGCTTTTGTGTTTGTACTTTTGGTAAGTTGAATTCGGGCTATTTTAATTTGTGGCCAATGAGAGATTTGACTCATTTCATTACGAGCCCATTAGTCAAGTCAAGCTCAAAAACTAAAATCCATGGACTGGTTCATAGGCAGGCTCGCGGTGCTTGCTCCTTTTGTCCATCGAAATTTATTCAAGAACTCTTAGGGAAAAAAAATTCCTCTTGCTATCGAAGTTTTGTGCAAAAACTTCATTAGAAAACTTGAATAAAGAAGGATTCTCAAATGCCTAGCAGTTCTTTCATACCAATCATATAGCATGAAGGTTGGATCCTTGTAATTCTTCCTTTGGAGCAATGTAAACTTCCTTGAATTTTATTCTATGTTATAATTTTTTTTTTTTATATTTTTCTTTAAATATGTCTAAAAAAAATCAAAAAGCCTGTGGGCTAAGCTAACTCGATGTGGGCAAGGTTCATGGTTGAGTCGAGCTTGAGTGATCGGTCCATTGTCACTCCCAACATTGCGTGATTTAGTTTGGCGAGATATTGTTCGTACTAATAAATAAATTGCATCGAGCTAGTATTAATTGGAACTTTATAAAATATATATTTGTTTGATGATGGTCACTATTTTTAAAAATAAAAAATAAAATTGAATAGTAATTTTTTGGAG